AAAAAAAAAATGAGAAAAGAACATGTTAAAGTAGCACACTGTCAACTTTTTAAAAAAAATTAAGTGCAGAATACAGTGGTATCTTGGTACTCAACTACTTTGAAACTCAACAAATTTGGTACTCAACACATTGTACATGAAAAAAATTTCCGGTACTCATCATTTGTTTGTTGCTCAACCTACAAGCTAGAACTTGTTGATGCCAGCTGCCTTGTGACACTGTTAAATTATTCATGACTGGGAGAGACATGGGAACAAGGTCAGCCGATGAACAGGCATAACAACTAAGTCAGCCAACGACAGCTTAAACAGATCTGAGTCTGTGCAGAGAATTGAAACAGAAACTTAAGGAGATAGTAGTCTGCTGCTCTGAGAAGTAAACTTAAACAGTCTGTCTGGGCTTGTCTGCTGAAATGAAACTAACTGCTTGTGTTTGCCTGTAACTCTCCTGCCTTGTGTTTACTTGGAAGAACCACCTGTTGGTATTGTACATTTATTCATCTATTCTTCTGTACAGTATGTAAAGAAGTTAGTGAATCCAGCTGAATCCGTTACCTGTGCGTGCTTTCTGGATTTGATTTTTCTGCAACAAACTCTGATAAAGTTTCTAGTCTGTTTTAGGATTTTAAAGTCTCACTGACTCAAGGTTGACTCAGCCTTCCATCCTTCTGAGGTCGGTAAAATGAGGACCCAGATTGTTGGGGTCAAAAAGCTGACTCTGTAAACCACTTCGAGAGGGTTGCAAAGCGTTGTGAAGCAGTATATAAGTCTAACTGCTATTGCTAAGTGCTATTCCAGCCTTCCTGGACTGAGCTTCCTAACCCATGGTCCTCAGCCAATATGATACATCCGAAGAACATTGGACAAGGGAAATTTAATAATATATATGGCCTAAATACCTAGCTTGATTAATTTGGGCAAACCTAGCCATATATCCAGACTGCAAATGTTTCTTTTCCCCCTGGCAAAACGAATGAGCAAATAGCAATAGCAATTAGACTTATATACCGCTTCACAATGCTTTACAGCCCTCTCTAGGCAATTTGCAGTATAAGCACATTGACCCCAACAACCTGGATCTTCATTTTACCGTCCTCGGAAAGTTGGAAGGCTGAGTCAACCTTGAGCCAGTCAGGATCAAACCGTTGACAGTCGGCAGAGTCCGCCTGCAATATTGCATTCTAACCACTGTGCCACCCTGGCTAATTACGCGAGAACTAGCTAATCAGTTTTATTTTACTGTGGAAGAAATCTGTTTCTTACTGAGCTTGAGCTGAGCAAAACTGCTGGTGCTTAGAATCTCGATGAATTTGGTCTCATCCGTTCCCCACCTCTTCTCACCAGCACTGTACAGGAGCTAGAAAAAAGGAATTGAAGGAGCATAAAATGGCTATCCCCTTGTAATATTTCAAATAAGATACTCTGGGCAATTACTTTGCCAATTCAGGGGTGAAATTCTGCAGGTTCTGATGAACCGGTAGCGGAAATTTTGAGTAGTTCGGAGAACCGGCAAATACCACCTCTGGCTGACCCCAGGAGTGGGGCGGGAATGGAGATTTTACAGAATCCTTCCCCTGGAGTGGGGAGGGAATGGGGATTTTGCAGTATCCTTCCCCTGGAGTGTGGTGGGAATGGGGATTTTGCAGTATCCTTCCCCTGGAGCGTGGTGGGAATGGGGATTTTGCAGTATCCTTCCCCCAGGAGTGGGGTGGGAATGGGGATTTTGCAGTATCCTTCCCCTGGAATGTGGTGGGAATGGGGATTTTGCAGTATCCTTCCTCTGGAGTGTGGTGGGAATGGGGATTTTGCAGTATCCTTCCCCTGGAGCGTGGTGGGAATGGGGATTTTGCAGTATCCTTCCCCCAGGAGTGGGGTGGAAATGGGGATTTTACAGTATCTTTTCCCCAGGAGTGGGGTGGGAATGGGGATTTTGCAGTATCCTTCCCCCAGGAGTGGGGTTGGAATGGGGATTTTGCAGTATCCTTCCCCCAGGAGTGGGGTGGGAATGGGGATTTTGCAGTATCCTTCCCCTGGAGTATGCTAGGAATGGGG